GTTATATGGCACTTAGGTCTAACACATCACCTTACTGCTTCTGTTACTTGGAGGGCAGAGTGTAGTTGACTAGGGATAACTCTGCTCTTCTCAGCCCTGAGACAAAGGGGAGTTGATGCTCATAATGTCTGACCTATACAGACCTCTTCATCCTCTTCCTGGGCTTCTACCCTACTAAAGCAGGGTGGGTTGGCAGGTTTATTTCCACTGCTGCTTTGCTACTGGGCTAGCACTTGAGGCATCTCACTCTTCCCCTGACCTCCTCAATATCCTTAAGGGCCAGCTTCTTTGGTTTGGACCACTGCATTCTGAGGCATTCCAGCATATCCTAGAGGAGGCTGCTTACAAGTCAGGAGGAGGGAGTTGAGGAAGGGCTGTTTCTTTTCAAACCTTAAAAAGGCAGGCAGCCTTATAGAGAAACTCAGAAGCCCCAGTTTAGTGTATCATGCCCCAGTACCCTTCACTATGAAGGGCACGTTAGTCTCAAAATTACCTGTATTCTACCTAAACCTGTGGTGCCCAGCTCATCCTACACCCAATCATGCCTGCACTTAAGAATCATAAAACTGAAGGCCTCAAAAGATATTTGCACCAAAGACATCAAGCATTTTGTTGATACCTGATTAAGTTCTTTTTTGGGCACAAGTTGTCCTGAAAATTAAATCTTAAGCTAGGGAGGAAGTGTTCTCTCCATTCACTTTGGAGATCAGTTGTATAGATGATTTCAGACTACCTTTCTACAAAACCACAAGACTTACATTCTTCATTCAAGGAAGAGCTCTCTGACATTAACAGGCACAAACATGACGAGAGGCTTCAGTCATATGCTACCGTAGATTTGGTGGTGAAAATCAATACACTCAAGCCTAAGTGCTGAGTCACCAAATTGCAGTGGCCATGCTTATGCAAATTAGGAGCGGGATATTTAAATCCCTGCCTCATTTGCAATGTCGACCAGCCTAATCTGTATCCCTCTGCCGACAGAGGGATGCGGTCTAGACATACCCTTAAAGACTAACAAATGTATTTGGGCATAAGTTTTCATGGCCTGGATTCAAGTGGGTTCCAGCCCACAAAAGCTTATGCCCAAATAAATCTGTTAGTCTTTAAGATGCCACTGGACTCCTCGCTTTTGCTGGAACAGATTAACACAGCTACCCCTCAGAAAAATACTCAACAGAACATAATTAAAATACACTTTCATTGTCAAACATTCTTAAATAGTAAGAGCAAAAAAGGCAAAGGATAGCCATAGGCAATACCACACATTTAAATTTGTTAAAAAAATCCAACATCACACCCCTCTGTGTTTGGCAACTGCCCATACCTTTCTATGAGTGGTTCCTTTCAGATTGCTCTTGATGTCAACGGGAGGGCCGGTTGGGCCATGTTTGGCAGCTCTCTCTGTCATTTTTTGGTAGGAAACGCAGGGGAAATAAAAAGAATGGGAAAAATTATTGACATTAAACCAGTTAGAATGAGTGAAGCTACACTTACAGAGGAAAAAGTAGTACCACTAAGTCAGCAATAGACAAAAGGCATAGAACGGGTTTTCCTCAAACAAAAGCTAAGACCTTTTTGGAATGCTATAATATAGTGTACCTAGTTAATCTGCTAACTAAATCCTGAACTGCTTACTTTTGTTCTGGTTTGAGCAGCAATATCATCCTTTATGAATTGAGTATTCCTTCCTTCCTGAGGAAACCTTGACCCTGTTTCCTGAAGCCCCATTTCCTTGCCAAAAAAGCTCACAGTAAGAAATGTATGTGCATCTAGGAAATTCTGTGGAACTGTGTGTCCCCCACAAGGGTAGGACAATATATCTCTCTGGAATTGGTGTATTACAAACAGCAACACTCCAATTCACACTCTTTTTAAAAATAAAGTTGTAACTCATTGTGATAGGAATGGACATAAAGAACTCACTGACTAATCCTGTATATCTAGTGAAATTGTTACTTGATGCTACCCTAAAATAAAATTGAAGAGAGCTACTGGTGAGCCTTTTATCTGTATAAGAAAGATTGCTTTAACTTCCCGGTTCAAAACCTAAAGAACAGTAAACATTGTGGCAGGTCCTTACTCTGAAGAGAATTAATACTCAGATCTTTCTATTCCATAAATAACTGAGATCATATTCATGTTTTAAGATATCAACTATTCAGTTTGCATAGTGGTAATCTAATTATATAATGCCTTTTTTTTTAACAGCTTTATCACACACTAAACCTTCGCAGAGCAAGCATGTTGATTCTTCTGGCTTTCATTATTGTGTTTCACATAACTTCAGCAGCGCTGTTGTTCATCTCAACCATTGACAATGTAAGTCTCATTCCACCTAGAAATTCTAATTCAGAGACATAGGTTATACTGATTTGAGCTGCAGGTATTCTCTTGCTGTGTATTCACGGCAAATGCACCTTTATATAAATATGGAGAGAAACATTTCCTGGCCCTATGATTTAGCTGAACATTAAAAGTACTGATAAAAAATGACACAGGCCAATCCAAAATGTAATCAACCAGCATATTTAACCTAAACAATGCTCCTCTCTGCTGAACTAAGGCCCTTTTTTATCAGATCCCTCATTTCCCAAAAGCCAGGTAAATGCTAGCTATTATTTCCAGGTATAGAACCAACACTGTAACTAAGGCTTTGTCTACATTTAACAGTTCAAATCCCAGCCATAGTAATGCTTTAAACTAAGGAAATTCTAGGCTTCTTGCACTTGCTTGTAAGACCAGAAACCTCCTGCTGCTACTGTGCTAGAAAAAGGCTATCCAAATCAATGCTACAGCCCTATGTCTCACTGAACAGCACTTGGCTGCAGAGCAGAGGGATGTGATCCATGGACTTGCAATTTCATGATCTCTGGGGAAGAACTTCATATAGAAGAAATGTTGCAATGTACAAACACAACTGTAGCTTGGAGGCTGAAGTTGTGGCTTTTGGGTACGTATAGCTGAGTTTGAGGAGAGGTGAAAATTCTACTGAACTCCTGCCCATGTTACATTCACCATGCCAGTAAAATTATGATTTGGTTTGGGAAAGACTTTAATTAATTCATTAATGCAATGTGCCTAAAACATACCATGGAAGACACACTAGAAGTTGAAAACATAGCTACCCTCTGAGATTTTTTAACATGAAAGGCATTGTACTTATCCTCTATGAAATGTGCAACCAGATGAACATCATACCCAATACTGAAAGTGAAAAATCCATTATAATCAACATACTGCACAGTCTACAGTCTCTCAAAGAAAATGAGGAACCACCTAATCAGCATCGTATACAGAAAGAAAAATCAAGGAAAACAGAAGAAAATCAAGAAGGAGCTCTCAAAACTAGAGACTCCCATAAAAAAACAAACTTCCACATGGCTGGATTTTACAAAAACTATATAAGCCAAGCCACTTACAATGCTTACTCCACCTCCGTACAGAAGAACTAGGTGGTGCATCACAAGCCAATTTCTTCTGCCTTTTAATATCTACATTTTCACATCAAAAGCTATGAACAGGACATATCCAGCCCACTTAATTAGCCTCATTAACACAGGTCCTACAATTCACAGATGCTACACACACACACACACACATACACACACACACACACACACACACACACACACACACACATCTTGGTTTCTGTTATTTCCACTCTAACGCATCTGATGAAGTGGACTTTTATTTCCTACATTTTATTTCTCAAATATTAAGTTATAGGTATTCATCTGACTTCTTTTAATCACAATTGGTTCTCTGCATTTGATGTTTATAAGATAGTCAATTTCTACAAAAATGATTTTCTCCTCCTCAGCCCAAATATTAGCAGAAATTTCAAGTTTGCAAAATGATAACTGCTTCTTTGATGGGGTTGCCTGCAACAGGGGAGTGGACTCTTACAACCCTGTCTTAAGAACTCAACTTCTATCAGTTGTCTCCTTTATAAGCACTTTGAAGAACTATTGACTGAGACAGTTAAGAAATATGTTAATGTAAGCGCAATTATCATACACTAGTATCCAAGCAAATGTAACCCAAAATAACCCCCAGCTATATAGAAGCATACATTCTTGGTCTTCTAGTGGGATTGTTTATTTAAAACTTGAAGCCTACCGGTTTGTAACCATCTTCTCAATTTTTGTCATTGCCTACATTGGTCTTGCAGAATGCTGAATATGACAATGAAAAAAAAACCTGTATAAGAAATCAGTGTTCAAAATACAGGTTGAACCACCCTGGTCTGGCACTCTTGGAACCTGACTGGTCCCACGAGGGAATTTGCTGGAACAGTGGAGGTTTCCTGCCACCAGCCCCTGAGACTGCGGCCTCTCTCCACTGCCAGTTCCATCTCCCCTGGTGAGCCCCTCTGCATCCGGCCGAACTGCTAACTCCCCTACCTCCAAGCCCCCCTATTGCTAGCCCTTGCTAGCTGCAACTCCCGTTGCACTTTGGCCTCCCTGATTACATCCCTGCATATTCGTGCAAATATTTTTATACTCCTTCCTAGTCATAAGAACATAAGAACATAAGAACGGCCGTACTGGGTCAGACCAAAGGTCCATCTAGCCCAGTAGCCTGTCTGCCGACAGTGGCCAGCACCAGGTGCCCCAGAGAGGGGGGACCGAAGACAATGATCAAGCGATTTGTCTCCTGCCATCCCTCTCCAGCCTCTGACAAACAGAGGCCAAGGACACCATTTTATCCCCTGGCTAATAGCCTTTTATGGACCTAACCTCCATGAATTTATCCAGCTTCTCTTTAAACTCTATTATAGTCCTAGCCTTCATAGCCTCCTCTGGCAAGGAGTTCCACAGGTTGACTACATGCTGTGTGAAAAAGAACTTTCTTTTATTAGTTTTAAACCTGCTACCCATTAATTTCATTTGGTGTCCTCTAGTTCTTCTATTATGGGAACGAATAAATAACTTTTCTTTATCAGCCCTCTCCACACCACTCATGATTTTATAGACCTCTATCATATCCCCCCTCAGTCTCCTCTTTTCTAAACTGAAAAGTCCCAGTCTCTTTAGCCTCTCCTCATATGGGACCCGTTCCAAACCCCTAATCTGTCCAAGTTTCCACGTCTTGTAAACTTCCTTTTTGTTTAAACTCACCAAAGATTTCTCTTAAGCCAAGCTTGTTGCCTGTCATATTTGCAATTCTTTCTCAACATTGGGATTATTCCTGCACCTTCAATAAGTCTTCTTTAAAATACTGCCAGATCTCCTGGACTCCTTTCCTCTGCACATTAGCCTCTCATGGATGTAAACTTACTAGTTGTTATTTAGCAATTGGCTGAACAAGAAGTTGAACTGAGTGGACTTGTAGGCCCTCAAGTTTAACTTTGTTGGAATGCAGTTAAAATAACAAAAATATGTTTGTAAGTTGCATTTTCAAAGGGGCTAAGAAGCCTGGTCCCAGGCCACATACCTGATAAGGAGATCGCACTACAGTACTTGTATTAGATAAATAGAAAAATAGCATTTCTTTTGTCATTTTCACAGTTCAGACATTTGCCATCAAAAATAATGTGAAGTAAGCACTATACACCTTGCATTCTGTGTTGCAATTCAATATATTTGAAAACATAGAAAAACATCCAAAATATTTAATAAATAATACCAATTGAAATTTAACAGGTTAATTAAAGCTTCAATTAATTGCAATTTTTTATAAGAGTCTCTTATATAGTCATATAATATAGGGCCCCACTAAATGTATAAGGAAAGTCTTCACTTCTGTTCATTAAAAGAATAATTGCATGACCAGGAGGCAGTGCTCCAGCAACTGTTGGTCCCAGTTCCCGCTAATCCAGTAAATTCAGGACTTGGGATACCGCTGGCCAAGCTTGGCCCACATGATGACCCAGAGGCTTACTTGGTCACCTCCAATTGAAATTTAACAGGTTAATTAAAGCTTCAATTAATTGCAATTTTTTATAAGAGTCTCTTATATAGTCATATAATATAGGGCCCCACTAAATGTATAAGGAAAGTCTTCACTTCTGTTCATTAAAAGAATAATTGCATGAAATATTCATCTCTGAAATGCCCTGCGGCAATGTTGGCTGTCAACCTCGGCTGCTATCAGCTTCTGTTTTACAGTTCTGGTGTCTGTAGACTTATGCTATGTGCACTCCCCTATCTTACCCTCAATATACCCACCTTGCTTCACTGTTGCCTTGCAGAGAGGTACCTTGGGAGCCTCTTATGGCAAAGATGGTGTCATGGGATGAACTAGGTCCCAACATCCCGGCTGGAGGCCTTTCCACACCCTGCCCAGCATGTGGCCACAACCACTGGCTGCGAAAGAACTACATGGGTTGGCACCATTCCTCTCCAGGGAGGCCCAGGCAGCTTACCGAGCTCTGGATGAGGGGGCCGCAGCCGACTATGGAACAGTGAAAGCCGCCATCCTAGATCGTCTGAAGAGAGATCCACCAAGCAGAACAGAGTGGCAGCCTCTGCTGCAGCCAGTCAGGGTACAGCAAGCTGATATAAAAGAAGCTGCTGGGCCAAGGCCTGCCAGTTCCTTGCTGGAGCTCGACCCAGGCAGACTTAAAGGCTGACTGGGAGAACAGCAGCTCTCCAAGTGGGAGTTGGACTTCAGACGTGGTCAGAACCAAGTCCAGCAGCTGAAGACTAGCTGGTAAGCCAATGGCCACACTTTGCAGAACCCTGGATAGAGAGGATTTGACCATAAGGCTCAGGAGAAAGGGCTGGATGGAGCAGCTTCCCGCCCCAAGTGGTGGCCCAACACCTCAAGGACTGGGCCTCCAGTTGGCTATGCCCCAGGGCCCGCAACAGCCTCTGAGATCATGGTCAATAGTTTTGGAGCAATACTTGGAGATTTTACCAACATCAATTCAAACCTGGGTACGGTGGCACAACCCAGACTTGCTTGCTGCCCCAGTCCAGAACACCAAAGACTTTCTCCTTGCAGCTGGGCCTAGAAAACCTATCTGGCCTCATCCTGAGAGCTAGGGAATATGACACCCTGGAGCCCCGTACCCACAGAGGCATCTTTCTCCCTGGCCATCACTGAGTCATGTCCCAAGTGACTGAAGGGGACAGAGTCAGTTGGGTCCCACTCTGAGACCATTGGTATGCTTCTACTGTGGGAAGCCTGGACATTTCAGCAGGCCTACCCAAGGTTCTGAAGACCCAGCCTGGGCACAGAAAGAGGTGCCCAAGGGACCCAGATGAGGGGCATCATTTCTTCCTCGAGATGCCATCCACGAACCCTGTACCCTGTGGGGGGCCCTTTCTCCCCGGCCATCACTGAGTCATGTCCCAGGTGACCAAAGGGGACAG